CAGGTAATTAAACTCTCTGGAATAAATTACTCTCAATAATACACACCTGCCTTGATGGGCTTGTATGTACATAGTATATATAGCCTGTAGAACAAAAGGTATGCTCAAGCATCCTAGTTTTCGATGAAATTCTCTAAGTTCATTTGACATTGATTGAGATTTTATCCTTGTTATGAAGTTTCCCAAAAGGGCAATATTTTTCTCCTAATTCTCATGGGTCCAGCTCACTCCTCCTCTTCTTCCCTTTTATTTTTGAGGGAAGTGCACGGTAGGTCCTTGAACTATTTTAAGGGTGTCACGTAGGTCCTCACAGTATGAAAATCGTCATTCAGGTCCTCAATGTATAGTAAGTGTTTCATGCTAGGCAAAGTATAGGTCCTCGGACTACTTTAGTATTGAACTGATTCTGGACCTGGATGAAACACTTATTACACTTTAAGGACCTAGATGATGATTTTCATAGTTTGAAGATCTACATGACACCCTTAAAATAGTTTGGGGACCTACAATGCACTTCACTCATTATTTTTCCCCAAACCTCACGGGCCAAGACGAATCTGTTTTTCTCTCTCTCCCCTCTTCATGTACTCTTGTCCGCTTGGGCCTTAGCCCATCCCACGGTGGCTGGGAGCAGCACCCAGTGTCACTCTTTGTATAAAATGTTTCCCTTTTTTATGGAACACAAATTTGTTAAATTACAAATTTTGAATGAGTTGTATCATTTTCAAAAATTTAAGTTACGCCAAAAAATGGAAAAAAAAACTGCACATGATAGTAGTTGTGTGATGTTGACCCACAAAGTTTCGAGTTCAAATGTTCTTTTATTTAGGAGAAAAGAACAAAAGAAATTTGATTGCATGAATTTTGTTGCAAAAATGGACGGTAAGGATAGAAGGTACAGAGGTACTGTAGTACTATCACAACTTCCCCTTCATATATACCTAGCCTTCATGTCCCACTCCACTTCACATAGCATCATGTAGGATGCGTTTGGTTACCTGCGGCGTTTTTTGCCACTTTGCATACTTGTCCCAACTAAGCCTAGTTGAGCATATATAGACAAAAAAACAACAGCTGCACGCTAATTTGTTGTCTGCATTGCATCAAGTTGCACCTGTATTTGATAGCAGCAGATACATGGAGTATTGGTGAATACGGATACCCACTCGGAGCAAGAAACATTACAAGTGCACATGAACCTCAATACCAAACCAAAGTGTCTAAGGACTCCCCGATTTCAGTGTCCCTCTGCGCTCAAGTAGGCACCCACAAAGGATCTATACTATTAAAGCAGAATCGAACGTCGTGATGGTTCGACCCCGTCCCCACCCCCTTTCTACCACAACCATCTCGCGATGCACCACGCCCGCAGCATCCCCGCATGACAGGAAAACATCGGAACTGATACCCACCCCTCACCGCACGATAGAAAAAAAAGGAAAAGAAAACCCACGTACGCACGTCCCACCCCTCCCCGAATCCCTCGCTCCCGATCCCCTTCCTCTCGTACGGGAATCGCCACCGCCGACCTCCTCCTTCACCGTTGGAGTCGGCAAGGCGAGAGACGACTGACGTCTCCTTCTCTCCTCAGACCCACGGGCTCTAGCTTTCTAGCCGTCAACCCCTGCCCCGCCTCCACCCTCCATCTAGAGGTACATGGCCCGAATCCAATTGCCCTCTCATCAGAGCCATCAGCGGCAGCTCCTCCTCGACCATGTCATTCCGATGTCGTCATCGTCATCCAATCGACCTTCCCGTCTACGGCGACCTCCAGCGACCTTCCCCGCATATGACGACCTCGATCTAGCTTGGAGCCACTTGCCATCTCATTTATTCTTCACCCACTCCAGGAGGTGCTGGACACGGGGGAGGGCAACCAGCAGGATGGCGCGGTGGCAGTGGCAACGGACAACAGCATAGGTAACCTTATCTCCCTACCATCGCTCTACCCATCTTCTCCCAGTAGGTTGTGCTCCCACACTCCCTTGTTCACGTACGGGTTTCAGTAGTGCAGCGTAGCGGCCGATGGATCTGTTGCTTACCCGCCGCACGACGAGGCGGTGGAGGTTGGGCTAGGCGGCCCCGATGCCCAGGAGTCGCAGGCCGACGACCTATCCAACGTCGTGAGCACGTCGCTGCACTGTTCCAATCCCTATGAGTTCTGCGCCAGGGTAAGCATAGAAATCCTATCTGCATTAATAGTGTCAAGCTTCATACTAAGATTTGTCACACTTAAGATGGTTGTTATCTCTGTTTAGTAAGCCATTTAAGAAAAGGAAAATACATCCGAAAATTGACTGCATTTAGGATGATACGATTTTACAAATGTTTCTTCTCCTTGGAACTCCCAGTCCTTGATTTCATACATTTGCAACTTTTAGTTCATATAACAAGGTGCCGACCATTGGCTTTCAAGAACAATGCTGCTGCAACGAAATACCCATCTGCTCATATAGCTACACAGGTAGCACATTGGTTTCATTTGGATCCTTGAGTTTTCATGTCATCTTACAAAGAGCACTTTTTCATGTCGTCATATAACTACACAGGTAGCACATTGGTAGCTGCAGTCCACGTATGGATTAATAGTCCTGCTATTGAAGTTTGATTAATTTTTCTTTTCCAAATTATTATTGGTCCAGTTATTAACCTCTGAAAAATATTTCTTTTCACATCTCTTACTCCCAGGAACTCTGGTTCAAGCTCCAGTGCAAGTTAATAGAAGGAAGTTGGATGCAACATTGACATACACAAGTCTGCGGTAAATTTCTCACTGATACTCTAATCTAAAGCCCATTATTTCTCACTGATGCCATGTAAATTAGGATAGAGTAATATTTTTTATCCAAGCTGGATGGAGAAGATATATGTCAAAGTTGGGTGGAAAAAAAGGCCCTTTGTTTGTCTTCATTGTGGAGCACAAAGCAATAGTATGAAGGTAGACTTATCAAGTTGAGTCATGGTGATTTGAATATGAGTCACATGGATTGTGTTATATTATTAAGTACTCCCTCCGTTCCGAATTACTCGTCATAGAAATTGATGTATCTGGATGTATTTTAGTTCTAGATACATCCACTTCTGTGACGAATAATTTGAAACGGGGGGAGTAGAAGATGATATTTCTGGCAACACACTCATAAGCCGCATGTGCAATGTTGTGGATTACAATGTTTTTTTAAGCCGTGGCAACGCACGGGCATACAACTAGTAAGGATTAGGAGAGCTACTTTAGATTCGGCAGTTGCGAGGGATTGATACCTACTAATCACCAACAAAAGGCACTTGCCAAAGAAACCTTGTTGATTGTTGAGTTAATCATGATCAATAAATAAAATGCATTAAGTGAAGAACACCTTCTAAACTTGTTAGACAGCCCATCTGCCCCATCCAGCAAAGCCACTTGCCAAAAACAAGGTGGGGGAGACGGACGGAAAAACGAGAGCTTTTTCCAGCTCAAGTCAACCCACCAAACCCACGCGCCGCGGTGTCTTTCCCCTCCCCTCCCCTCCGCCGGAGCAAAGCAGCTCCGCCATGAGAGATCCGAAGCTCCCCGCGCCGGCGACGGCCCGGAGATCTCCGCCCGGCCTCGCCGGCACGCTCCGGAGGCACTCCGCGTGGCTGCTGCTCGTCTGGTTCGCGCTCTCCGTCTGCCTCTTCCTCTCCGCCGCCCCGCCGGCCGCCTCCCCGCTCCTCCGCCCCGCCGTCCTCCTCCGCAACACCAAGCCCCGCGCCCTCGCCACCGCCACCACGGCCGCGACAACCTCCAAGCCCCCCGTCCGGATCTACGTCTACGACCTCCCCTCCCGCTTCAACCGCGACTGGGCCGCCGCCGACCCGCGGTGCACGCGCCACCTCTTCGCGGCCGAGGTCACGCTGCACGACGCGCTGCTGTCCGGCCCCGCCGCCGCCCGCCCCGAGGACGCCGACCTCTTCTTCGTGCCCGTCTACGTCTCCTGCAACTTCTCCACGGCCAACGGGTTCCCGTCCCTCTCGCACGCGCGCGGGCTGCTGGCCGACGCCGTCGCGCTCGTCCGCCGGGAGATGCCCTACTGGAACCGCTCCGCCGGCGCCGACCACGTCTTCGTCGCCTCCCACGACTTCGGCGCCTGCTTCCACCCCATGGTGAGTCCTGATCGTTCGTCCCCATGGTGGGTGGTTGCGTGCGGGTTAGGTGCCTGCCTCCGGTTCTTGCGTCCAAACGGGGGTTTCCAAGGTGGAACCGTGGAAGTTAGCAGCTGCGTCTTCTTGGTTCCGAAATGGCATACGTGTTGTTCATGACAAGGAACCGAGTGAGCCGAGTTCAATCAATAGTTCTTGCTGTCAAATTGACCAATTTGTAGCTTAATTATCAGAATTTCTCTTGTGCTATGCCGAATTTCAGTATAGCCAACTGTCCGCGTACTTATGGAAGCTACTTATCCAACCATTTAAATTCATGGTTGTTGTCAACTTGTCATGATGGAACTAGGTTCGCATCGAATTTACTTCAATGCGGTTCCCCAACCCATAAGAGATTTAAGGGAACTACTCAGTTGCACTAAAGTTTCGGTTTGTTTTGCTCAGGAGGATGTGGCCATCGCGGATGGCATACCGGAGTTCCTCAAGAGGTCAATCCTGCTACAGACATTCGGTGTGCACGGCCCTCACGTGTGCCAGGAGGCAGAGCATGTGGTTATCCCCCCACATGTGCCCCCGGAGGTGGCCCTCGAACTACCGGAGCCGGAGAAGGCGCGAAGGGACATCTTTGCCTTCTTCCGGGGCAAGATGGAGGTCCATCCCAAGAATATCAGTGGCCGCTTCTACAGCAAGTAAGCATATGCCACACTTTTCTTAAGTTGCTTCATCTACCAATTATCCCATAAGTAGTAGGAAGGGGACTGATTTTGAGGTTTTCTAAGGTTCTGTCTCACTTTAGTTCTGCCTTCTCAGAAACTCGATGCTATCTGATTGACCCATTTGTTTGAGATCTCTACCCACTCCACGTGGCTAACCTAAATAGCCTGTTATGAAATAGTTCTAAATTATAAAAAATGAAATAGTTTAGCTGCCTAGGTTAGGCAAGGACTCATCCATAATTGTCATAATTTCATCAATAATTGTACATATAAGGCTAGCAGGATAACAAACAGTGAATTACATTTAACTCCATTATTTCATATACTTGCAATTTACTGGTTCTTACCTTTTCCTTGCAACAGGAAGGTGAGGACTGAGCTACTAAAACGGTATGGTCGTAATAGCAAGTTCTACCTTAAGAGGAAGCGATACGATGACTACCGATCAGAGATGGCTCGTTCTCTGTTCTGCCTCTGCCCGCTGGGCTGGGCACCATGGAGCCCTCGGCTTGTGGAATCAGTTCTGCTCGGCTGTGTTCCTGTCATAATTGCCGATGATATACGCCTGCCATTCCCTTCCGTCCTCCGGTGGCAAGACATCTCATTACAGGTGGCCGAGAAGGATGTCGCCAGTCTTGAGACGGTGCTGGATCATGTTGTGGCAACGAACTTAAGTGTGATACAGAAGAACTTGTGGGATCCTGTGAAGCGGAAGGCGCTGGTGTTCAACCGGCCATTGCAAGAGGGAGATGCCACATGGCAAGTGTTGAGGGAGCTTGAAGCGTTGCTAGACCGGTCTCAGAGAAGGAGGAGTCATGTCGGATCATCGAGGAGGTGAAGAACCGGGTAAAGCCAACCGCCAAGGACCTTTTGGCGGTTTCTGACATCTACTCTGCTGCATCTGTGTGACAGCAGCTGCAACTTACAGTCTCTGCCGAGCCAACAAAATCACTTGTTGAGCATGAGCACTACCGGTGGTCATGTATTTTTCTCGCCAGAAGTTCAGAAGATCAGTTCCTGACATTCCATCCCAATTTTTGATGGTGAAGCTGACAGTTTGCGAGTCTGTATATAGTGTACCAACGGAGGCAGTCATGGGCTGACAAAGTGGCAATCTCTGTACAGAAAATTAATTTTATTCATCTAGGTGGTTTCTCTTATTGGTGTTGTGAAGAGGCTGATATTTAGGTGGTTTGCTGGTGATTAAAGATTGTATTACAGAGGGGTGTCTGTGAAAACGTTTCCTAGATGTACCTGTAGAGTTGTTCGGCTGTCATACTTCCATGTACCATATGTGCTTCTGTTTCAGTTATGTTCAGGAAAAAGGAAAAAGATGGCTCCAGTTTCTGTCACTATCTGATAAAACCAACAGGAGTTGATGATCAAATTAGCATCATGATCAAAGATTAGCATTATTCTTTGCAAATTCCAGTAATGTAGCTAATTCAGCACAAATAACAGGAAGATAAAAAGGATTATTCATTCTCCAGCTTTAGAATTTGTTGTATTTCAAGCCTTAAATATTCGCATCAGATTGGTTTCTATGCTAGCAGAACCGATCATTTCATTTCTGCTGAAACACACAGAGCAGCAAAAGAAAAGAAAAAACTTGTCTGAATAAACTTACCTATTGAATATCTAGACTTCGCCAAATCAGAATGATATACAAACGGAAGCTTCATTAGAAAATCACGCTATGTATATGAATCAGCAAAGAGTCACCGCAACAAAGTGATGCTGCAGATATTAGTTTTGCCATTAAAAAAAACCCCACAAGAAACAAGCAGCCAAGCATGCATATTGGCCATTACGGAGAACATAGAGATGATAGAACTTCAGCTCAAAGACAGGATGCGGATGCCCATCTGTGAAAGCAAAACATTCTCAATAATCGCCAATAAGGTTTGTATCTAGTTTACATGCCATGAAGCGCCTGTTATTCAATGGATGTATGGATTGATTGATCCACATAGGGTTGTTGCTGGTGCATCCAATTGAGATATGCCATTTTAATCTGTGCTATAGAAGTAATCAACTACGGATGGCTAGCCTGTAGATAGTGATCGTCTTGGTAACGTGCGGAGCAGCATCCTCTGCAATTGAGAAATGCATCATGTTTGTTTACACTGAAGACTTCAAGAGCATACACCCTTGCAAGGAGCATCCTTGCAGCGGCAAACAGCTCTCCCTGAAAGCTCCCATCCGTTGAATCCACGCTCGAGGACCGTGATGCTCTTCACCGCTGACTCTTCCTTGGCCTCTGATAAATAGTCCAGAAACATTCTTGCACAAGATGGACCGCGCACCTGCAGTTTAAACGGACAGGTTACAAAAAGAGCCAGTGGCGATAACCTCAACTCAATCTGAGAGATAACTATGTGATAAAAGAACACAGGTGGTATAGAAAACAAATGTAGGAGGAAAGTAAGCACATGGGAACATAGCTGCTACCAAAGCCAAGCATATTTACCAAAACAAACATCACAAATGACAATTTATAGTTCTCGCTAGAAGATAAATCCAAGGTTTTAATTTAATTTAATTTTCAAAAGGTCCATGGTTTATAATTGAAGTAGCCATTCAGACAAAACCTAAGCATATAAAGATGTCCTGACCACAGGCCTAGAGAGCACGCGAAGATTGCAACGGCATAGAAGAACACTGACACTGATATCAGACAATCGTGAATACAAATAACATGTAGAACCACAAAAAGAAAACAATGGAAGTCCTATGGCTACGGCATCTGGAAAAAAAACTGTCTCGCTGGCAATGTTCACGAAATCTTCAATGGTCTGATTCTGAAAACATAACATAAGACAGCTTCAACCACCCCATTGACGTCTTCCTGTTTTGTACACATAGATAGAACAGCTGCTACCAAAGCTACTTTACCAAGGCAAAAGGTACAAATTACAATTTATCAGTTCTATAATCTATAAAGTAAACCATATAAACTCAGAGAATGGTCCCAGGGAACTAGCAGTAGAATTAAGCAATAGCTCTTCCTAGACGATAAAGCCATGGTTTATATTAGAAGTACTGATTCAGACAACGCCTAAGCATATAAAGATGTCCCGAGTCCTCACCACGGGCCTAGAGATCAAATACCGATTGCAAGGGTACAGAAAAAAGCTGACCCTGACTTCATACAATCGCGAATAACAAAAACATGTAAACCCACAGAACGATAACAATGGAAGTCCTATGGCTACGTCATCTGCACAAAAACTGTCTCGCTGGCTATGTTCATGAAAAATTCAGTGGTCTGATTCTGTAAAAAAAATGGAATCCAATTTCAACTATCTTGTCGATGCCTTGATGTACTATACACATAAACAGTTGTATTTGCATTTCCCAATGATAGCCATCAATTCCACAGGACATAGTATAGACAAATAACCACCATCATTAAACATGATCACGGGTCCTGAATCACATCGACGTCACAAATGAGGCAATTCATCTCTGTAATCTGTGCTTCCACCCTGAAACCCTGATCAACTCATAATCCATGATACCGGCGTGATCTTTATGTTACCAACGGGCTTGTGAATCTCCAATTAAATTAGAGGCTACATCACATGAAACATTTTGAGATCTACAGAAAGCACCAACTGTACTAGTGCCAAGGTCCAAGGTGCTAATTGTTTGCTTGCTTTAGCGAGTGGTATTCGAAAGATCAAGAGCTGGAAGAGAGGAACGCTGAAGGAGGGAGGAAGGGGCCTAAGGGTCTCCTTGGCCCTGGTGGCCTCGGCGATCTCCGGCAGCCGGTCCGCGAAGCCGTCGCTGGCGTAGTGGTGCGACCCGGCGATGTGCGCGTCGCAGATCCGCTCCTCGTCCCTGCACAGACCCCAACCAGCCACCACCGTTAGTAGCCTCTTCTCGCTCGTGCTCCCCGGCGCGGTCACGGAGATGGGGCGCGGATCGGCGCGTGCGTGCGTACCTGACGTCGATGATGGCGACGCGGGGGTCGCGGACCATGGACACGAGCTGCGCCGCCGTCACGTACGACACGCTCTTCCTCGCCATCGTCTCCGGCCGCCGTGGGGAGCGGGGTCGGGGCCTCGCCGGAGAGGGAGGAGATTCTTGTCCCCTCTTCGTCTGGCGCGGTTTGCACATAGCCCCCCGAGGATGTGTGTATTTCAGGGTTAAGCGATTTAGTTGAAGTGTATTCGTTCGGGTATTCCTTGGGTTAGGTATTTTGGGGAAATTCGGGTTCTCAAAAACAAGAATCGAATTAACTCCCGTACAAACCGGTTTTGTCGGTTCGGTTTTTTTGCTACCCGTAGAAACTGATGTGCAATCAGATGACTACTATCAGCACAGTGCGCAGGTGTGCGGGCACATGGTATAGATGAAGGCCGGTGACAAAAGGGGGCGAAGAAAATGGGCTCACAGCACCGACGAGGACATGCCTCTGGCCGAAGTAAAAAAGTAATTTAGGAGAGGCCGCCACGGACGTCTGTCACGGCGGAGGTGGGCAAGGGCGCCGCAAGCGACAACAAAAGCACATACGCACATTGGCTCTACGGGAGATGACTACACGACACAGTCCCGTGATGGCGGTATGGGCGATGACAATGGTCAGCATGTCACACAAGAGTTCGGGATGGACGCGGCTATGAAGTGGGAAGCAACTATGCGAGTGTGAGTGAGATGCGCAATGGGTGGAGGCTGTTGGGAAGTAGGAATAGTGTCTACATGGCTAGGGTTCGAGATGTTTTCTTAAGTGGGTTGGGCTGGTTTTGTGAGGTGAGATGCGTGACTTCTAATAATTTCGGTTATTGTGGTTTATTCGGACAACAAGAGATGGAATTCCGAACAACACCCGAAACCCGAATAACAAGAAAAATATGAACCGGAGTTGAACCCGAATTACCTGACAATACGATTCGATTTGGTTTTGGTTTTTGGGACCTGAATGCCCAGCATGAGAAATACCTCTCAAAATACTTCTTCATGCATCTGGTTAGTTCTACATTGAGAATCAAAACTAAACATAATTTAGTGCTAATGGAATCAATATTTGACTATTTTTGCAAGGCAGCCTTGCAAAACCAAAATGTTTGCCTATTTAATGTTATGAGAGGTGTGTCACAACCTTGTATTTGTCATGATTTTTTTTCCGGGTGTATCATGAAAAAACGACCTGACTTTCAAAAATAGAACTGTGTAACAGAAAACGGAAAAAAGATAAGCACTAAACAAAATGTCCGCGAGAAGAAAAAATATTCATTTTGTACCCATAAACAAGAGGTAAACGTTTGCACCCGGCGGACCGGCTGAAACTTCGGCTGATCGCGCGATCCTCGTTGACTCGAGGCCTCTTCATTGTGCCACGTCGCCATGCTATCTTTTTTTTCTCCACGCCTCCAGATGCTGGAGATGACGGGGGGCAAGGGATGCTGCATCTAGCAAGAGATGATGGTGTATGCAAAAAAAAAAATTTGCGGATAAGTGTATCCAATTAATAAAAATATTGAACCTGCACAATGTACCTCACCTACAAATACCCCCCAACGCCCGGCATCCATGGTGGTCTCTTCAAAATAAAAACAAAAATGAGCGCTCCATACGTCATGTTTTGATACCTGAATTTTGTATTTCCATGGTCCGGATGTCTTTTTGTTGGTGAAATTTTACATACGGTTAGAACACACGTCGATGTATTGACAAAAAAGACATCAGATTATATTATCATTTTGGATTTTTATACTTTGTACGAGTGTATTTTGAGCCGGAGAGCAGACCTAGATGTAGTCGTCGCTAGGTGATCTACAAACCTGAATGTAATTTTTATTTTTGATGTTTTTTGTACTACCATAACAGTAGATGAATAGACTGGGAATTATCCGTGGGCTGACGTGAAGAAAAAAAATCTGTGGGCTGAAGGGAGGAAATGGAGAATGATCCGGCCTGGCACGTGGCCCATCTACCAGAGATGAAAAATGGGAAAAAGGAATCGACACCTGAGAGATTCGAACTCTCGCGGGGAAACCCCATGTACTTAGCAGGCACACGCCTTAACCACTCGGCCAAAGTGTCACTTGGTGACTACAAAATGTGTCGTCCATTTTTACTAGAGTAAAACGACGCAAAAATTCGGCTGTTCGTATAGAAACACGCGTTGGCGCAGTGTGCTCGAAATAATACACATACACCACACAAACATAGGTTTTTTTCCAGGGAAAATATGGGAGTTTTATTTTATTGATAAAGGGCGCTTTGATTAACTTAAAATGTAGCAACAAGCGGATACAAATCATGATTGAGCAACACCAGACATTTGCATAACTCAAATGCACACAGCCAAACACTAACAATCTTTTTTTTTGCGAGTGAAATAATGTATTACTCAACTGAGGCAGTTCATACAATCAATCGTAGCTAGCTCGATAGCATCCGAAGGACCCGAACCAATCCAAGTCATGGTTCTGCCTCCTACACGAGCAAATTTGGCTATGCTATCACTAACTTTATTTTGGCTACGATCAACATGAGTAATACAAGAATCACGAAGAGACATAAGGTGCCTAATCTCCATAATAAGCGACGAGTAGACCGATCTATCAATCTCCTTGGCCTGGATCAACTTGAAAGCTACGATTGAATCCATTTCTATCTCCACTGGAAGGTCACTTCTCTGTATTGCGAACGACAGTCCTTCCATACAAGCACTCAGCTCCGCTTCGAGAGAATCCCGACATGAAAATAGTTGCCTGCATGAAGAAAATATGATCGCACCTTTGTCATCTCGAAGTACCATACCAGAACCTGCTGAGCCGTCATCACCATAAGACCCATCCGTGGATAACTTGACCCATCCAGATTTGGGAGCACTCCATTTAGGACCATTTTCTTTTATTATCGCATGTGGCTGGGCAGCAAAATTATCACATGATACAACTGATTTTCCCTTGCTTGTTTCAGAGAAAAGGTCCACCTTAATGCCAATGATTGAATCAAGATAGCTCACCAAGAAATGCTTAGAGGCCTCCATGGGCGGGCGGCGGTTTATGATGAACCACCTCGTTACGGATGTGCCACGCCCGCCAAAGCATCATAAGCAACATTGAACGCTCAATATCAGGAAGAGGTTGTAAAGCATGTAGTAACCATTCTTTCCCATTATTTTGCATGGTACTTATACAAGGCAATGACCAAGCTTCTGCCATTACATCCCAAAGAACCCTTGACAATGTACAGCGGCAGAGTGCATGAAAACTGTCCTCAGATTCAGTTCCACATACCGGGCATAGATCATTTATTTCAAGGCCCCGAATATGTTTGTTTCTCCAAGTCGGAAGAGAGTCTGTAGCCACACGCCAACAAAGTTCCGAACACTTGGGGGTACATCAGTGGACCAAATGAATTGCTAGCAAGAACGCCGACCATCTGGGCGCGAACTTGAGCCGGTAGATGAGCTTCTATGTGCCTCTTCAAAACCGAACTGATAAGCGCTCCTAACAGAAAACATGCCGTACTTTCCTGGACCCCAAGCCAACGTGTCATCTCCTAGCCGTGGCGACGCACGAATTTTCAAAATCTCTACAACATCCGTCGGAAGGAAATATTGTTGTAACAGCGCAAGATTCCAGGAGCCATTCTCATTGAGTAAGTCCGAGACAAATCTAATTCTACACATTCCTTGAATTGTTATGGGTTTATATGAGAAGGGTCGTGGGATCCAATTATCACGCCACACCCGTATACTCCTTCCGTTTCCCACCCTCCAGATCAGACCTTTTTTAAGAAGGTCAAGACCATATGCAATAGCTTGCCATGAAGAAGATGCATTCCCAGCAAACACAGTATCTTGAAGTTTACCATCCGGATAATATCTGGCCTTCAAAACTTGTGCACATAAACTATTGGGTTTAGAAATCAGTCTCCATGCTTGTCGAGCTAATAGTGCTTGGTTGAAGATACAAAAATCACGGAAACCAGCCCCACCTTTGCATTTTGGTTGCATAAGTTCATCCCAAGCACGCCAATGAACTTTCCTTTTGCCCCTCTCAGCTCCCCAATAAAAACCTCTTACCATCCTAGTAAGTTCGTCGCAAACCGAAAAAGGTACCTTAAAAACTCCCATTATATAAGTAGCCAAACACTAACAATCTGATAAAAAACCCGACATATCGGCAAGAGTAGAGTCATATGAGACCAACTCTTATGCCTATGTCACCCGAAAAAAATAAACTCCTATGCCTATGTCAAAGAAGGTGATGAATCGATCCGGAGATTATGTTGTCATCCATGTTGGATAAAATCTCCATAGTCACCTGCTCCAACCGCATACACACGCCTTGAACAACAATAGACACTTCATTCGGTGTAGCATAGACCACAAATAAAGCGAGCGCGCACAACAAAAAACAACTTGATGGGTAGTCTATATCACCCGCAGCTTGACGTCGCATCGCCTTGATCAACGAGTCATTGAGCGGAGGTTGAGGGCCGTGGAAGGCAAGATTGACAACGCCGTCAAAGTCGGGGGAGTCGTAGATGTCAGGGCATGTATAATGGTGGCATATGGTTACATATGCCCCATGACAAAAAATAATTTGAGGCACCTACATTTATTTTTTCTCCCTAATGCAAACTATCACTAGTGGACCTAATTAAGAAATAGAAAATAAAGACTCTAGTACATATGCATCTCTACTTTTTACTCTAACCTTTTCAGCTTTTGTCACCGGACCACACTTTTTCTCTTCAAGCACCCGCCTTCTGGAGAGGATCCAGCTTCCCTATCCGAACCTACTTTATATCATATCCTATCCTACATGGCATGCGAGGCATCACCAGGAAGACCATGACGACGATCATGTCGGCATCCCAACCAAGGTACGCCCACCAAGTGGGGCCCTGAGGTGGGCCCCCTCAGCAATAGATGGCAGAGGAAGGGAGGCAACCTGCTGCGACTTCAACAGTCAGATGCACCATACCTGGCCAAACGGGCCGGCCCGGCACGGCACGGCCCGACCTGTGCTAATCGTGCCTGGCCCGGCACGGCCCGCCATGGCACGATTAATAGCCAGGCCGTGCCGTGCCGGCCCACGGGCGCTGCTTCTTGGCCCAGGCACAGCCTAATTAGTAAACAGGCCGGCCCGATGGCCCATTTAGCACGCTGGGCTGCACATATTTAGCCTGTTGGGCTGTTTTTAGGCCTATTAGGCTATATTTTAGGTATAAATATATTTAAAAAAATCTGAAAATTATATAAAAAATTAAACGGGTCGTGCTTGCTGGCCCACATGCCCAGGCTCTAGGCCCAGGCACGGCCCAAGGCGTGCCGCGTGCCGGGCACGGCCTGTTTAGCCCGTGCCGTGCCTGGCCCATAGCGGGCCGTGCCGGCATGCTCGCGGACTGGCCTGTTTGACCCGGCCCGTTTGGCCATCTATAAGATGCACCGGAGCTGCAGCAGCAGGCCGACAGTGTGCGTCCTGGGATATTCCTATATGCCGCCCATGGCCTGCATATAGTATAGGCTTTGCTCAAGCTAGCCTGCAGACGGACCAGCCTTTTTCGTTGTTTTGTTTTTTCGGTTGTTTTCTTTTTATGTTTATTTTGTGTGTGTGTATACATTTTTGTTTCAGTTTTATTTTTGTATATTGAGTTTTATTTTTATTTTTTCACACTTCTTGTTTTATATAGGTTTCATAATATACAGTGAACTTGTTTTTTAGTATATGGTGAATTGTTTTTAGTATATGATGGACATTTTTAAATATACACTGAATATTTTCTTGTAATATACAATGAATATTTATGCTATATACATTGAACATTTTATAATATATTTTGAACATTATTAATTATATGATGAACACTTTTTAATACACACTTAACAATTTTTTAATATACGGCGAACTGTTTTTTAATATGTACATAACTTTTTTATATAATACACACCAAACTATTTTCTAAAATATATATTTCCAGTTTTTTAACAGTTTTAAAAATATTCAGCTCCAAAAAATAAAAGCGGTTTTTTGGATGAAAAGGCAACAAAAAACAAATAAACAATAGCACATACCACATACTCCTACCACACTGAATTTGGGCCAAGTGGTGCACCCAGGCATCACCATGTGTCGTGTGCTGGCGCATCCTTGGGAATTTTTCTATTTCTGTGTGTTTTTGGGTAAGGCTGGAAAAAAAGCTCGAAGCTCGCGAGCTAAACGAGTAGCTCGTGACTCGGCTCGAATCGACTTGAACTCGAAGAATAACGAGTCGAGCCAAGCTTTAGGTTAAGATTGTTTATAGAACGAGTTAAACAAGCAGATCTCATGAGTACTCGTGTAATTCATTAGGCTCGGGACAAAAGATCAGCAAGCAGTGACGGAGCTTGGGACACATCTTA